TCTCCTACCGACCAACCTCATCCCGCCCCCTTGACCTGTCCGTCCTCCCTGGACTGACCTATCCCCTTCCTAACTCCCCACCTACACTCACCTTTACTGGCCCCATCCCCGCCTCTTCAACCTGTTTGTTTCCTCTCCACCTATCCTCTCCTCTATCCATCTTCTATCCGCCTCCCACTCTCTCCCTATTTATTTCAGAACCCCCTTCCCCTCCCCCTTTTCTGATCAAGGGTCTAGGCCCAAAAAAAAGCTTTTCTGATGAAGGGTCTAGGCCCGAAACGTCAGCCTCTCTGCTCCTATGATGCTGCTTGGCCTGCTGTGTTCATCCAGCCCTGCACCTTGTTGTCTCACATTTGCATGGGAAGACTGAATTCAGGTCCCAGTCAAAGCTAATAAATATATAGATTGTTCTACAGATAAATTTTTCAGACATTGCTAGTGATCATTCCCTTTTCAAAACAGGCACAAACAGCAATGCAGAATGGGAAGAGGGACTTGTGGGCACATCACTTGTTGATGTCAGTGCAAGGAATATGATGTCATACAATTTTCAGGTTATTACTCAGAAGGTGTCTCCCCTAGCACTTTGGGATCGTAGCTGTCAAAAAAAAATGCACCTGGTCAGGAGAACTAGTCATTATGAAAGGCCAACAACCTGAGTGGACAAAACAATAAAGATAACAATATCTCATCCCAAACCAAATAGGGTTACTAACGATGGGTCTAAACAGTGAGCTGACTCAATATGATAAAGTGTCCTTATGAATGTGTTGGGAGATTCAAAAGCAAATACACTAATTTATATAGGATCAGATTGAGTTTCCATTGAGATTAATTGAGATTCAATTGGCAAGCATTCAGAAAATTGGTTGATTAAGAGTAAAGGAGCCCGAGATTACTGACTGAAGATCATGGCTGGAATTTAGTTTCAGATCCGGGTGAGGTCAACATCCAAGCAAACTACAAGTTTCGGCTACTTCTTCCGTTTGCTTGTAGTACGGTCTATGGATGATATAAAGCTACTATGGTGTGCCTTAAAGAAAGCTTGTGTTTAGTGATTGCCCTGAAGTGATTTGGTGGAAGCTACCTACTTGCAGTGAATTATTTCACCTGACACCAGGCAAAAAGTTTGGCATCAGATCAGGCAAACACTTATCAAAATCAGAAGGAAAAAGAGCCTTCAAGTTAATTAATTCAAGGTACCTAAATCAGAAACAAGGCATCTAAATGACTGTTTGGTAATTTAAACAGGTTGTTCACTGGACCAAACTCACTGGTCAAGCAGCAATGAATCCATATCTTCAATCGTACAATTGCCTTCTTTAGAAAGCTTTCTTCAAGTCTTGAGTCTTTGATCTGTAAGTTGTTGTATAACTGCTTAACATTATTAAAGAGAACATTAACATTATTGAAAACAGATTATAATAAAGAAAAAGGTTATTTCTGTGCTCACCCAGGCCTCTGTAGCGAGAAAACTGCTGGTAGATTTGCTTCATTCGTTCAATATTCAGGCGACTGGCTTCAGCATGGTTCACCATGGGTTTTGGATAATGAACACCAATGATGCATTTTGCAGCTTTCTGTACACTCTCTGGAGCATTCCAAGGATCATAGATATGCTTGGCAGGAAAACCTCTGAGGACTGGCAGGTATCGCCTAAAAATACAACCAGAAGTTGCACTTAGTAGAAAGCCAAAACCCATACATCTTATTTATCGTAAATCGTACATTTTTAATATGAAACTTCTAAACAATAGTGATGATTCAGATATAATTTTAAAAGGTTGTACTTCAGAAAAAACAACAGATATTTCATAATGATCAATTTCACATCCAAGTCAACCCCAAGTTTAAGCTAAAACATCTTACCATCTAAGTCAACTCGCTCAGGTGTAAAACACAATTACTGATAAAATTCAAATAGCACATCATTGAAAGTGACTGATCAGCTCATTGCATCTGCATTAGTCAATACATGAAGTGTCAGGACTGCCATCTCACTGGTTTGTGTGGCGTTCCCTTTGCTCTAATTTTGGGGGCAGGTTGGCAGGTATAGTTTTTGACCTGGCAACTCTGCAACAGCAAAATAACGGGAGAGGGCAGATTCCAGTCCCGTGAAATTATGACTCATAACAAAGTCAATCTTACTTTTTGGCTTAAAGCTTAATCTTAGAAAATACTTTTAGTTGAGTATATGGAATACACTACATATGTGTTATAGTTTTGCTCTTCCTGGTCGAAAATAGAATATTTTTCAACATGTGATAGAAAGCGAGAGATATCAAATCTTTACAACTATAGCAGAGAAGAAAACCACACGTGGCTGGAAAGGGTGCAAGACTTTGTCAACGATCAAGAGCACAAGAGTGGAGGTATCATGGGAGATGGCATTTGAGATTATACAGAGAAGAGATACGGCAAGGACAAGAAGGCAATGAATTTTAAGGACAGATACATGAAGATGAAAATTAAAATGAATGAGAATGAGAAGTCACTCAGTTGAAGCTATGAGAGGTAAACCTGAGAGGGAAATGGGTGATAATTGGGATTTTATAGAACACATGTACCACACAAAAAGGTGGCCAAGGTATGAGTAGGCGAAAGTGACTGACTTGTTGATAAGGGCCCTATCACCACTGCTGGGTTGGGTAGAGAGATTTGGCAAAAATAAAAACAAAAACAAGCAGGGAAGCTTTGGTAAGGGCCATCCATGAATCAAGCTTCAGGGTAAACCTGGATGTGGTACAATCAGCCCAGGTGATATCCTTCAAATATTTTTCTGTCTCCAGAACAGATATACATTAAGTACCTGATATAATCTCCATTGGGGTCAGTTCTACGTCCAAAACCCACAGGACAGTAGCAATGAAAAAATTGTTGGAAGAAGGAGCTGCAGGACAGCCACATCCAACTTCCAGCATTCACACTCCAGTCAGCATCCAGTAATAACTCTTCAAATACCTATATAAAAAACCAAGCATAACAATGAGCAATTAAATCTAGAACAGCACCACAATATTTTGTTCAGGAATTCTTTTAATATTGTATTAAAAAGACCCTTGAAATCCCAACAGTAAACTTTACAATTTGTGTTCCTAATATAAAGCTGTTTATGCTAGAGCACGTAGTAATTGATTTGGCCACAGAATCAAACTGCCCATTTCTATTCTGAGTTCTGCATCAGGATAATGAATTGTTAATTCTAGACTAACATGTGTGTAACTTTGAGAAATATCAGTCTTTAGAAAACCCAGTTTTCAAAATTATTAACTCTTTATCAAAGGGAATGTTTCTTCACAGTTTCAGTGACCTACTACTTTCATTGGTTTCTCAGTCCAATATTTTTGCATAACTTATTGAATGTCTTGATGACATGAGCCAATGTGAGAACAGTGGGGAACTGCTGAAAGGGGAAGAAGATCAGACAAGACGTGAACTAAGCTCCAAATGCAGATGAGGCTGCTGCATGTAAAACCGCAGTAGCTAAGTTGTGATGTCCTACGTGGTCAAAACACCCTGGCAACATTCACTTGAAAAATTTTGACAGCCGGGCAAAGCACTTGATTGTTACTACCCAGTAAACCAAATTTCAATAAGAAATACACAGCTTTCAGTCAAAAATATGGAGCACACAAAATAAATGTGAGATGACTGTACAAGCATTCTGTATAGTAAATTACAAGTTGCTTCAGGCAAAGCACATTGACAGATCACTGGAGAGTAACAGTGCATGCCTATATTGTGAGCAATGCCATCAGCTAGGAAAGGCATTGGCCTAGTGGTACTATTGTTAGACTGTTAATCCAGAGACCCAGATACCATTCCGGGGACCTGGGTTCGAATCCCGACATGGCAGATGGTGGAATTTGAATCCAATAAAATGTCTGGAATTGAGAACCTAATGATGATCATGAATCCATTGTCAATTGTCAGGAAAAACCTGGTTCACTAGTGTCCTTTAGGGAAGGAAACAGCCATCCTTACCTGGTCTGGCCTACATGTGACTCCAGACCCACAGCAATGTGGTTGACTCTGAACTGCTCTCTGGGCAATTAGGGGTGCACAATAAATGCTGCCTAGCCAGTGACATCCTCATCCCATTAAAGAATAAGAGGAGCTGTAACAAAAAGGACATCTTTACTTTCAACCATTATTCAGTCACCTTCATTCCTTCTTCCCAGCTAATCCAGAGATCACCTCTTGTTAAAAAGCAAGCCACTGCATGACGGGCTAAGTGATGGATCCATCCTTCTTGACGCAGCTGTGTCATTATTGCATCAATCCAAGGAAATCCTGTCCTCCCTTCTGCCCACTTAGCCAGAGCCTCAGGATTCCGGTCCCATGGAACTTGGACACAAATCGGATTTCCTTCCATTTTATCAAACCTGGGGTTGTTAGTAGCCGCTGCATAGAAGAATTCACGCCACAATAGCTGCCCATACAGGGAGAGTGGAGGGGTGCTGTTTTTCTTCACCTGTTGAAAAAGGAGGGGAAGTTCTCAACATGTACACATTGTTCACTTGCTATAATGTATGTTGATAAGTTCACTACAGGCATAGTACATCTTGTGAAATCAAATACAGATGCCATGAATGAAGGAAATGGTTAATTTTTATTTTCTTGTATTGTGGGAACAAAGCCAACAATCCCTTGCAGTTTTCTGCCCAGTTATCCCTTGAGTGCCGGCAACCCAGTAGTAGGAGTCAGATCAGAGATCAATTTTATTCCCACTTGTAAACTTCTTGCAACTCCGAGAGTCCCCTGATTATTAAGACTCCTATCTCAACTTATTTTCAGAGGCTTCTCTGCCAACAAAATGATCTGTAACACTCTACCCAGTACTTCCCAGCTCCCACAAAGCAAAAATAGACTCAAGCATTTACTACATAATTCCAATCAGGTATATAGGGAAGTAAAGATTACATTTCATTCCAATTGATGGAACAAACACAAGCAGCCAAAGAGAAAAGGTTGCCAAGAATCTTTTTACGTACAGCATTGTGTGAATTATAATCTTCAATGACAGCTCTGCTGTAAGTGAGAGATAGTAGGAACTGCAGATGCTGGAGAATCCGAGACAGAAAAGTTGTCAGAAAAGCCTTTTCTGATGAAGGGTCTAGGCCCGAAACGTCAGCCTCTCTGCTCCTATGATGCTGCTTGGCCTGCTGTGTTCATCCAGCCCTGCACCTTGTTGTCTCTGCTGTAAGTGAGTCTGGTGGACCCAATTTCAATGGCACTTCTGATATAGGTAGCTGCCAATGACAGGTAGTATCAAGCCTACTGGTATTCCTACTCCACTGTACATGTAATGAAACTTCAAATTTATTTTGCAAAGTGACAGGAAGAGTAAGAAATCAGAATAGTACTATGTGCACTTGCTGCAATACATTGGGTGAGTGAGTCAAGTATGAAAGAATATACCTTAATCCATCAAAGTTACCATACCGGAAGCTACTTTCATTTTCTTCATTCAAGATTCTATACAATTATAATTAATGAACACATGCAAGTGGATAGAGACAGAGGAACCAGCTATCAGGAAAGAACCAAAGTTATTATCAAAGTCATATCCTAATCCAGCAGTGATGTTTTGTGAACTAAGCTTCCTTTGTGCAAAAGATTTGATTTGATTTATTATTGTCACATGTACCAAGATACAGTGACGAAAAGTACTGTTTTTCAATTAACCAGGCAATTCATACCTTACTTATGTACATTAGGGTAATACAGCAGAATGCAATTTACCATTTTAGAACTACAGAGAAGGTGCAGAGGAAGATCAACTCTAATATAAGAGAGATCCATTGATAAGTCTGATAACAGCAGGGAAGCTGTTCTTAAATCTATTGATACAATTTTTGTATAATTATTAGCCTAATAATGATTTAGCTTTTAAACTTCAGCCAGCTCTGCCTGATTCTATTATGTAATAACATCAGGAATATTACTGAGGGGGAAAAAATCATCAGCTACCAAGTTGCTTCTCCCGAATAGCAAACAGCCTAGTCTTTTTGAGGAAGCTGAATAAATATGGAAATTCATGGTTGCAGTCTGTATAAATGACATCATAACAGGCTTCATGCAAATCCCATAAGACTTTAGGGTTGAAAAGTTGTAACAATCATTTTGTGCACTTCACAGCTAATTCTGGTGCATCCTTACAAACCGTACCTTCTTATACAAGTCAGTTAGCTTAAAATAAAAGAGGCGACATGACAAACAACCAAATCGCAGGTATGGACTTAGCCCAGTAGGGCTTGCAAGAAGTGAAGTGGAGTTCATTCGTGGTCTTTCGAAGTTTGCAACCCAGGCCTGAAAAGGAAAAGAACAACATTGGAAAGATATGATAAAAACAGCCTACTCATTACGTTTTTATCCTGAAGAAATGCAAAGTGTACTTAATTCACCAGCTCTAGGAAATACAGGTAAAACATATTCAATATATTCACACCCCAAGTAGTTAATCATTTTATAATACTACAGCAATATTTTCAATCTATGTCTAGAAGACAATCTGCAAAATGTTAGTAACATTTCCAGTGACATTGTTCAGAAAATTGGGCCAATGCCGCACTGTCAAAAAGTTCTTTTATTAGCCTACAGCAACAGTAATAATGTGCCAATAAATCAACAAATTGAAGATAAGCTGACAAAGCTAATGATCCACTGTAGATTCATTTCTGCACTTAGGTAGCAACCAAGAGCATTAACAGAGCACACAAAACATTATTGGTTCAACCAGTTCATTATTTTACATCATCCAGTCAAACCTGTAAAACCAGAGCGATTTCAAATATATTCACTGTAAAATACTTCAGCAATTTAATATGCCATCCCTAGCTTTTATCGATTTAATTTTCCTTTCGCAGTAAATTTTCTTCTTACTTTTCTCTCCAAATGTCTTTCTAATCTTGCAAGGGCCTCTGTTTCACCACCTGGCCATACGGCTGAAGGAAGCCCTTCTGTATCAAAACCTAAGAATAGAAAAGCAGGATTAAGTCTTCTCCTACTGTAGAGATAAATAGCTAGAGAAGAATGTCTAGGAGTCCTCCCCAATGTCACACAGACCTTGCTTTGATTTTCAGTCTCTGCTGATTTTAGACTTGATAGGATTAGAGTCACAATTCATCTCATCACCTCAAGAACAATGATGAATTAGAGGAAAAAGTAGGTCATGACTCCAGCTCACAAACTAGGGACTGTTACTGAAGAGATATGCTACAGAATCGATCAGACTTCAGTTTGATATTGTTGCAGTTAAAGTCAGTTACATTCACCATTGCTGCCTAACACAATGACTACTTAGGTGTTGTTGAAGGAGTCAGTTTATGGAACCCAAGAAAAGTACAAGTAAAAAGTTGCTAAGGTTAATTTCCTGACATGATTTGGTAATGCAAATCTAATTGGTAACACTACCAAATTTAGCAATGAGAGAAGACAGAGATTAAAAACAAACTGTTGTAAGTCAAACAAAAGTCATATTAGACTCAAAACATTAACACATTCTTTCCATGGATGCTGCCAGATCGGAGTATTTTCAGCACTGTTTTTACTGCAGATTTTCAGAGTCCACAGTATTTTACCTTATATCTTATCACAAAACTTTATTAATTGAATATATATAGTATGGGTAGGTTGCAGAAATTGGTTATAAACATCAATGGGTATCTTAGATGAAATTAATCATTGACCTGGTTACTGCAAAGATACATTGCTGGAGTTAATACAATGAGAATTCCTTGCATATTCTCGACAACCAAAAGATACGGACTTCCTCAGGGAAAAATGGGACAGTTGTAAATGTATCTATGATCCAATAATTCTCATTTTGATCAAAGCAGGTTAAATCAGACTCAGTAATGATTTAATTCTGCTAAATTTAAATATGCTTAAAAAGGGATGTTAAGAGGTTAAAGTATGAACAAGTGGAAAGGACACACTAGAACTGCATGTAGAGATCACACAAGGGTCAGTTTGGTTTATTTCCTGATCATCTGTTGAGAATACCATTGAGGTATATATATCAAAGCAATGTAAAATAGGGATGAACCAAAAAATAGGAAACATATTTAGTGCATTTCTTTTGCAAGACGGAATTATCAATCTCATTTCATCATTATATTTTTATTGACAGACAACCAGACTTAAAATTTATTTTGTTAAATTTCTTAGAAATCATGTTTAACTAACTGACTGGAATTCTTTGAAGAGGTAACAGAGAGATTTCATGAGGATGATGTGATGTGTATGGGCTTCCAAAAATCATTTGATACAGCATTGCACAACAGATTGTGAGTAGAGTTATAGCTCATGAAATAAAAAGTACAATAGCAACATGGATACAAGATTGGCTCAATGATATAGCAACAGTAAAATTTAATAGATATTTTTCAGGCTGGAAGATAGATTTTAGTGGAGTTCCTCAGGGGTCAGTATTAGCACACTTGTTTTTCCTAATTTATATTAATGATGTAATTCTGGGGAGTGCAGGGTACAATTTCAAGAAATCTGCAGACAAAAATAAACTTGGAAACATTGTAAATAGTGAGGAGAGTGTAAAACTTCAAAAGGACATTGACAAGTTGGTGGAATGGGCAAATAGGTGGCAGATGGAGTTCAATGCAGAGAACTGTGAGATAATACATTTTTGTAGAAAGAACATGAGATAGTATAGCATAAAGGATACTACTCTAAAGGGTGTTCTGAGCAGAGATACTTGAGTGTTTGCAGAAGTCAATAAAAGTAACAGGACAGGTGGAGAGCGCAGTTAAGAAAGCATTCGGCTTTATTCATAGTGTCATAGTGTACAATAGCAAGGAGGGAATGTTGAACTTGTGTAAAACACTAGTTAGACCTCAGCTTGTGTATTGTGTGCAATGTGGGTACCACACTTCTGAAAGGATAGCACATTGGAAAGAGTGCAAAAGAGGTTTATGACCATATTTCCATGAATGAGAAACTTTAAGAGGATAGCTCTGAGAAATTGGAACTGTTTCCCTGAAAAAAAATTTAGGACTAAGAGGAGATTTGATTGGAGTTTTCAAAATTATGAGGTGTCTGGACAGATAGGGAGAAACAATTTCTCCTCAAAAGGATCTGTGAATGTGCAGATTTAAAAGAGATTTGCAAAAGAAGATAAATCAACATAAGAAATATTTTTCACACAGCTAATTGTTTGGGTCTGGAATGTACTGCCAGGAAGTGAGGGGGCAGATTCAATTGAAGCATTCAATAGGGCATGAGACACATTATGTGGCAAGAGCAGGAGAATGGCAGCAAGCCGTGATTTTTATTCAGAGAACCAGTACAAACACGATGGGCTAAATGGCTCCTTTTGTACAGTAAGAATTCTGGGATGTTGTGCTGTCCAGACCTGGAAGAAATCTTCTAGTTGAGGCAGAATCAATGCACTAAACGACAGTGATAATATGCAACAGCAACACGACGGCCTTCTCATTCTCCATAGTTCTAAATCTTCCTTTTCTCAACATTATTTATCCAATTTCCTCTTATAAGTTTCAATGGTGGTTCCTCACTCAAGTGTTAAATTTTTAAAAAATGCTACTCCAAACAGTTATTGTTTAGTTTACTCTTCGGGCAATGCAACTGGCCAGAAATCAGTTATGAAATACTTGTGGCTCATACCCAGTTCTTCGAGAGATGGAACTCCATATTTGTCATCATGGTCATCAAGGACAGGCGTTGTACATTTTCCCATGCCCTCAGCTGTAATTGTTTCCACAGGCATTTCTATTGACTCCATTCGACTTATAAGCGTCTGGAAATGCTTGTATGTTAGAGGAGGCTGTCCACCATTACGCTCTATAATCCTGTCAAAAGAAACCAGTTCATCAACTAATTAGGACTTCTGTACCATTAATTCATATCAAACAGAAACTAATTAAATCTGTTTTAAATGAATTCACGTCATTTTCATAATTTACATCAACTTCTGTCTTTGAAAAATCTTAATAATTGTGAAGTTTTAAAGGAAAGTACTCTAGCACTGGAAAAAAAAATCAACCAATGCTCTTTGTAACATCTGCTAAACATTGATGATAGGGTTATTAGTAACCTTGTGAGAATATGCCTGCCACTTCCTGAAGTTAAAAAGGAACCAATCAAAATAGCATCCAATTATTTAAAAGGTAACAAAGTCAATGTCAAAGACAAGTTCTATTGTATCACTACTTTGCACAGTTTCTATTATGAGAAACTTCAAATGAGCAACATAATTCCTCCAGCAGCATTCCATGTCAACTACCACACACTACAAGTGAATCACTTTACCCTTGTAAAAATCTACAAAATGATTCATACACATACACCAGTTCAGAGAATTATTATTAATGTCCAGATAAAGATAATAAAGGACACAAAGTCAACACTTGATGTGTTGAGATGGCTGTGTGTCATCATTACTTTGTTTTAGAACATCCATAAAGGAATCGCAAGAATAGCAAATTGAGCAATAACTTCATGATATTTTTCAATGCAGATTCAAAATAAGTGGAAAATTCTATTTTAAACTCTGAAGATTTACAATCCAATATTAAAAATTGTCATCTGTAAGTATTCAGTCTTTTAACAAGATACATATAGATTTGTTATAGATATCAGTGACAGCTTCTGAACAATGGGTGACAAATGCAAGAAATGAGGACACGCATACTCAACAGATCTCTTAAACTGACATTTTGTTTTCAAAAATGTTTCTTACACTGGGACAATTACATGACCAGAACCTTATATGCAATCTCGCAGACACTTAAAAACCTTACATGTCCAAATTATACAACGTGTGTGAAATCCGCACAATCACTTCTACTCCTGCCTCAATGGCCAACTTCTTGATAGCTGCATCTCGCTCCTTGCTAAAGGGTTCAGAGTCGTATTCAAAGGTAAGACGGGAAATATTCCATTCCTAAAGAGATTTAAATAATGAAAAACTGTTAGCTTTATATTTTTGTAACATTTGAGGTTTTTCAGCACTCATCTGGATTTAAACACTTCCTTGGGGCAGTAATTGTGATGTTACAAGTTTTGCATTGTTTTTGGAACTTTAAAAAGATCAAAAACAAACATACTTTAAAAAGGAGGAAGGAGAGAGAGTTTTCAGGAGAGTCACCACATGGTAAGGTCAGAGACTGAGAATTACATAAGGCTCGGAGATCAGCTTTGTATGAAGCAACTAACTATGTAGTTTCACAGCTGTCAGACAGAGAAATTGCACAAGGGCTCTGGAGAACAAACAAGCAGTGCATAGTCATAGCTGACATGAGAGGTCTAATATTCAGCTTCACCGTAGCTGCAGAGTTAGCAGTCACTGCCTGAAACTATAGAAGTGGACAACCTTTGATTTTTGAGCCTGATCAGTTAAGTTTTTGATTTTACGACTTATGAAACATCTAAATCTTAATCTGTTTTTGTTTTGTAAATCTGTAATAGTGATCAAGGTGAAGGGTTTTTTTTATTATTATGTTAATACTGTGATCCGTCTTTTGATTGACTTTTATTATTAAGGATTGGTATTAGTGTTTTTAAGCAGTAAGACTGTGTAATGCTGCATTTTTGAGCAAAGTGTGTTATGTTTTTAGGCAATTTCTGGGTCTGTTGAAGGGGCAGAATGGCTTTTAGTAGGGTGATTACAGAATTACAGAGTTGTACAGCACGGAAACAGACCCTTCAGTCCAACCAGTCTGTGCCGACCATAATCCCAAAGTAAACTAGTCCCAACTGCCTGTGCTTGACCCATATCCCTCCAAACATTTCTTATTCATGTACTTATCCAAATGTCTTTTAAACGTTGTAACTGTACCCACGATGTGCACTTCCTGTTAAGTGCAGGAGATCAGGGAGAATTTGAGCTCTCCAGGAAGTATGTTTGGTTGCTAAACCTATTAGACTGTATGGATTAGTTGGAGCATCAATTAGAGGCAATGAGGAGTTTACAAAAGCAAGAGGGTGCGATGGATAACAATTTCAGGCAGATACAGTCAAGTAGACGGTTGATCTGCTAGGGATGTAGCGGAGGTAGCTAAGTGGTGCAGGAATCTCCTGTGGCTATCCCCATCATAAACAGATGCTGTTTTGGATATTGTAGTGGGAGGGTTGCCTGTCAAATCTTAAGGCTAAAATATTAGTGCAGCAATAAATAATCAAATCCCAATTTCCTAATGTGCTGTTTAAAAAAGATATTAATAAAACAAGCAAGATGAGTATCAGCAGAAAAATGACTGCTCAAATTATTACTTTACAATAGGTTCCAACATTCTGAAAACTGAATACCATACAACTGGGTAGTCTGCTTACTGCAAACAGTACCCAGCCTCCAAGAACATTCTAGCCCAACAATATAATAAGCTTTCTGAAAGATGTTTCAAATATGGATATAAAAGACAGAACACTGCAGCTATTAGTATATATTTGTATGACGTATGAAAGCACTAATCAGTTTGCAAGAAAAGAAAAACACTTAAATGACAATAGGTGTAAGTTTAACATTATTATAAGGCCTTTCTAAGTAGTGGTATGAATGTACTAATACCAAATTTATCAATTTTTGGAAGATATTTTTCCATATTAAAAGCAGTCCAATGAAAATGAGGCTTCAGATTTCTTACACAATTTTTTAGCATTTGATTCTTTACGAATATTGGCAGAAATCTACACCTTAAGCAAGAGAAGCTAACCAGCTTCCTACATTGATTTGAAAGTGATAATTCAGAGCTGGAAGTTATTTGTACAAATTCTGGGGTGTTTTTGGTCCATTTGAGTTGCCTGGTAGACTACTGATATTTTGTATTGTGGTTAGTTCTTTAAAAATCATTAGGTAATGTAGAATATCGTATAACCATTATACCTGAGCTAGAGATGTTCATTCAAACGATTTTATATGATTGTCCATTGACAGAATAAATGCAGACATGATGGGCCAAATGTCCTCTTTCTGTAACAATTCTGTGATTCTATATAGGCTTTACAAAACAATGCAGCATTTCAGTTGTTGGACACTATGAAATAAAACAAAATAAAAATGAAATGAAATGCAAAGTGCACACCTTAAACAATCTGGGAAAGACATCAGCTGGTTGACCACGTACAACAAATAAGCGAGAATTTAATTTCCGCAAATTGGCATCAAGATCTTCAAGACACTGGAGCAGAAATCTGGAGATCAGAAAGAAAAAGCAACGTTACTTCAATGAATTTCATTAATGGCTTATTTAATCTTAGTTATCAAGGTTTTGAAATTAATACCATACCTTTGCATAATACTTGGAAAATAATTCTCCCTCTTGCCCCATTTGAATTATAAATCATGGTCTTACTTTCATGGTTTCAAACAGCTAGAATTTGCCCTGCAGTTGATTTCTGTTTCTATAGAATACAATGCTTTCAGTGGATTCTTAAACCAGTTTTGGAGTGCTTTAGTAAATATGGACAAGCCACACATGACTGCAGCTGGTAAACTGCAAAGTGTCATCACAATTGAGACCATTTACCAATAATCAGTTCAGTAATAAAAGGGAATAAAAGTCATATCAACATTCTTAACATTTTTTCCATTTTCCACAATTTTGACCAAACGAGCTACAACATAGTTGGAGGTATATTGCTCCAAAACAGAGAAAAAGATATCAAGTAAAATAGAGTAATAGAAACTAGCAACTGAGGTCTAGAATTTCACATCCACCATGAGATTGAGTTCTACAACCAAGATCAGCACAGGATTTAAAATATAAAGCTAAATACTGTAGATGCTGGCCACCTGACATAAAAATAGAAAAGACTGAGAACACACTACAGGACATGTAGTATCTACAAAGAGCGAGAAAAGGTAAGGCTATATGCTAATTCAAGGATCTTTCTTCAGGACTGAAAGACCTGAGACATTAACAAAGAAAAAATTACAGAATGATATATCAGGTAGTAACAGTGGTGATGTGGAAACTTCTAAACACCATCATAATGGACATAATTTGCAATAGGACATGGGTTAATCAACAATTGTCAGTGTGGATTTGTTAAATCCTACAGACTGCATTGAGTCCTCCAGTAAAATAATGAACAGGTTTGATTAAACAACTACAGTTGATATTCTTTATTAAAACATCTTAGACAGTTGACATAAAGTGCCACATAATAGGTTGTTTGCAGAATTGAAGCCCATGGGATTAAAGGGAAAATAGAGACAGAAAAGCAGTTAAGGGACAGAAAGGACAGAGCACTGGTGAATTGTGATCACTTGGATACCATGAGCAACATTTAGCTTTATAGGTCGTAATTTCAAAGTTTTTAGATGATACAAATACTGGAAATGAAGTACTTAGAGGGTTAGATAGTAACCAAATTCAAGTGAATGTTAGCACATTGGTAAAATGGGCAGTCACATGACATATGTCTTTTAAGACTGGGAAAATGTGATGAACTGCATCTTGATGGCAAAAAAAAACATCAGGAAAATCCAGAGAGTCTGGGCAGAATATGTCACCTTCAAAGATTTATTACAGGTTGAGAAGGCTGGGAAAAGAAAATAGCTTTATAAACAGAGGCACAGAATAGAAAACAGAGAAGTTATGTTAAACTGGAATAAAACACTGATTCAGTCTCAACTGGAGCGTTTTGCCCAATTAGAATCACAAAGTTGAAACCACACTTGGCTCTATGCATGTGCATCAGCCAAAACAAAACCACCCAGTCTAAGATAACAAGGTGTAGAGTTGGATGAACACAGCAGGCCAAGCAGCATCAGAGGAGCAGGAAAGCTGACGTTTCGGGCCTAGACCCTTCAGTCTAATCCCACTTTCCACCATTTGAACTCTCTGTCCTGTAGGTTTATGGCACTGGAGATACATAATCAAATACTTTTTAAATGGGTAGAGTTTCTGCCTTGAACTACCTGGGGACGCCTTAGAGAGTTTATCCAACAAGGCCATGTGGGTAGAGCTCAGGAATAGGAAGGGTGCAATCACTTTGACGGGAATGTACTGCAGGACTCCCAACAGCCAGGTGATAGAGGAACAAATATGTGGACAGATTATGAAAAAATGTAAAAACAGCAGCAATGTTGTGGTGGGTGATTTTTACTTCCCCTATATTGACTGGGACTTGCTTAGTGCCAGGGGCTTGGATGAGGGGAGATTTGTTGGGTGTATCCAGGATAGTTTTTTGCAACAATATGCAAGTAGTCCAGCAATTGTTGCCCATCCCTAATTGCTCCAGAGGGCAGTTAATTTGCTGTGGATCTAGAGCCACATGCAGGCCAGAACAGGTAAGGATAACTGTTTCCTTCCCCAAAGAACAAATGGGTTGTTCCCAACAATCAACTTTGGATTCATGGTCATCATTAGCCTCTTAATTCCAAATTTTTGTTGAATTCAAATTCTACAATCTGCCATGGTGGGATTCGAACCTAGAACATTACTTGGGTCTCTGGAATAACAATTCAGTGATAAAACCACCCGGCCTTCATCTCTCCCATCTGCGCTTGTAAACAGTGGACAGGCTTTAAAGTGATGAGTTACTGCAATCTTACTAGCCTCTGACCTGCTCTTGCAGCCATTGTATTTACATGGCTAGCTCAGTTCAATTTACAGTGTATGCGTTTTGGAACGTACATTTCCAATGCAAACATAGTCAATGTGATCATCTGCATATGCGCATGTGCAGCCATGAGATCGCATCAGTACAACAGGAAATTTTAAACATATTGCAAGATTTAGGAAGACACAGTAACAATTATAACAGCCCTATAAGCTTCTTTGCAAATCTGATTTCTAGCCTGTTCTTTGTACAAGTGCAGTGTGACATTAAAATAGTAGTTCAGATACCAAAAGCACCAATTTGCAAAGAAATTTACAGTCTGATTATAAATGTTGCTGTGTTTTCTTGAAATTTACAGCAGATTTACAACTTGATGCAAGCTTACTCATTTCCTACTTGGAGTGGAATTTGACATAATAAAAATGGATTTTTCAGCTCCATTCAGTCAGGTGCATTTCTCTCACCTTTCACACTGGTTCTATCTAGTGTTACATCGCCAAAACATGCAAACCATACCCTTGCCTTGTTCAACTTCCCCAAATATACACCTTCATCCCCACCCAACCCACATGGGATGAATTTTATAACCAATTTGTCCATCTGACCAATCCATTAATATCTTCCAGTTCTGGGCACCACAATTAAAAGGAGGACATGAAGGATTTACATTTGGGCCACACAAAGTGGGGTCACGACCTGAAGTGGAGTTGCAAGCTGAAATTTTGGGGTGCTGATCACAGAGGCTGCAACAGTTACCATGCAACCCTGATTGCTCACAAAAAGACAAAGAACTGTGGGTGCTGAAAATCAGAAACTGCTGGAAAAACTCAGCAGACCTAGCAGCATCTGTGGAGAGAAATGCAGAGTAAAACTTTCGGGAACAGTGTTGCTTCTTGAGGTCTGGTTACCTCTGCTTTATTTCCAAAGATGCTACCAGACCTGCTGAATTTTTCCAGCAATTTATGATTTTGTCCCTGATTGCTAACAGCTATATTCATGTTCATTCACAGTTTCTTTATACTACCCAGTTTTCACTGAAAGATCGTGAAAATTTTTAAGCCTCGATACGACGTTTTGGGTGGGGAGGCGGGGGCGGACGGTCACGTTGGGCAGAGAATTAGGAATATTTTCTAATCAACTTGTTCAGTGATGTTATTTCCACACATCTGGAGCAGATGGGACTTGAACCTGGGCCTCCCGGTTCAGAGGTAGGATAACTATCACTGCACCACAAATGACTATCATGTTCAGTTCCTATATTGAGGGATGGGGGTACAGCTGGAAACGGTGCTGTCCCCATGGCAACACGCTACATCCAGGCACGTCAGCGGCGTCTCTACGGTCGCCACGGCAACCTCCTGACGGCCCGGCACTCACCATGGTAACGCCTGAAGCCCCCAATGTACTCAGCTCGTCAAAACCTCTAACGGTCACCGCAGTCACCACGGCGACCGGTGACGGTCGTCCAGTCGCCACGGTAACCCCCAACGGCCCCTGCAGTCACCACGGTAAAGGGCAAGTCACTCTCGATCCCTCTCCTCAACTCACCGCCACCGGTTGATGCCCACACTGGACGAACCAGCGAACCAGGGGTCGACGATGTAGACGCAGCGGATGGTTTCCGAACCCAGCAGAGCCTCCAGCAACGCCGGATTATCGTGGAGCCGGAGCCCCTTCCGAAACCAGTGGATTGAGTGGCCGCCCATGAACTCTCAAAGATAAATCAAAACCGGGTGGCTGAAGAGAGATATACAAGGTGTAGAGCTGGACGAACACAGCAAAACCGGGTGGCTGAAGAAATGTCTTCCCAACAGCAGATGAAATCGAAGTCGGCGATCAGAATCTAACAGCGCAGCCTGAACGCTTCTAACTGTCACAGAGCTCGCGCGGACAGCCACGTGCCTGTCCCGCCCCCAGCCAGAGCGCTGTTCCATTGGATTGGGCCTAGGCACGTGACCTAAACCTCACGTGTCCGAGCGGCACCCTCGATCCCGGCCCCGCCTCTTCCCGTGGAGCTCCACCTACGCCCGCCCTGATTGGTCACTGACCGAGGTAGAAATCCCCGGATGAGCGCGCAGGCGTCCGATTTATTTACTTCAGAGCCCCCTTCCCCTTCCCCTTCCCGAAGACGGGTCCAAACGTGATAATAAGGTGAAAAGCTGGAGGAACACAGCAGGCCAAGCAGTTTCAGAGGAGCAGGAAGGCTGACGTTTCGGGCCTAGACCCTAGACCCTAGACCCTAGGCCAGAAACGTCAGCCTTCCTGCTCCTCTGAAGCTGCTTGGCCTGCTGTGTCCCTCTAGCTCCACACTTTGTTATCTCAGACTCCAGCATCGGAAGTTCTTACTATCTCCAACTTAAATACCAGCTGCGGCCGGAAGTGTGTTCCGGGTTAGGGAGGTCGTGGAGATGTTGGGGTATTGGACTGGAGTGGACAAAGTCAGAAGTCACACGACATGAGCTTATAGTACAATAGGTTTATTTGAAATCACAGGCTTTCAAAACGTAGCCCCTTCGTCAGGTGAAGGTTTAGATGCTTATTAAAACTTAACTCGTTGACCAAGTTTTTTTTATCTACCCGACAATTTCCCTTTGTATGTGATATACTGATGTCTTGATATCATTTCATTTATAATTCCCTTGTAAACTGGATTGGATTGTTTTAATATGTTAAGGGCACAATGTAGATGCATGTTGAGCTGTACAATTCTGGTGTATTTTCCAACTTTTACATTCCATCCAACCAACACTATCAGTCGTTCATCTCATGATTGCTGCAGGATGCTGTATGACAAGAACTGTTATGACTACAGATAGTTATCTTACTACAAAAAAAAATCCACTGGCTGGATGTTCTTTGGGATGTCCTAAGACTGTGAAAATCACTATATTAATATATAGATATTAGTATTTTGTAGGCAAACAATAACTTTCTCAAAGGTTTTCAGACATTGTAAAATATAATTGCACACTAACTTAATGGATGCTCTAATTGCCAATGATCCCAAATTGAACTGCTGCATCCTAATCTGTTTCAAGGCTTGGATTTGTATGTGTGTATTCAGTTAATGCCGTCATAATGTTAAGGATACAGCTTAACTTCAGTGTTGTGACTGAGAGAAACATTGCAATATAAACCAACAAAACTTAGAATTTGTGCCAGAATCCAGAGTGTTCACATGTATCCACGACAGAGGTCACGGATGTGACTGATGTTGCCCTAAATACCATCATTCAGTTGTGTCGTCCACGATCAAGACTCTGAAAGATCAGCCTTGGGATCTGACTCAAAGCTAGGAGCACAGCCTCTTCTTGGATACTTCACTGAAGGATTTTCTGAGGCACATACCCTATAGTATAGAGTGCATTTTTTCTCATGATCAGGATATCCCAAAGCAATTTTCAACCAATGAATTAAAAATAAAGAAACAACTTGTATTTATATAATGCCTCAGGAGAATGGTAAGAAGTATCTAAAACTGGCCATGTGGTTGCTCACTTTCTGTTAACTCCCTTTAGGTTGTTACCGGTCAAGCAATACAAATGTGGTGTATGCTATCCCACTATACACAGAGATTAGTTAAAACAAGCTATTTTGATCATGTTCCCTGGAGCCTGCTGCCCTGCAACATCCTTTCCTGCCTGAAAAATCTTCCTCTTCCTTGAAGTCAATTTGCAACAAGAAAGCACTAGGGGGAGTAGGAGGCCAGCAGTTACTTCATATCACGAGAAAAATCATCCTGCACGTATCCCAAAGTCTGGCATGACATGGTGAAGGTGTCAAAGGATCTTCATTAGATTGGCTAGGAATTCATTCTGAATGTCAACAGGATATTTAATAATGGGTAATAACTGCTGCCCCTAGCAGAATACGTACACTAATCATGAATAATTTATTTCAAAAAGCATCAATCACTTTACGAAAAGTCCCAAAAAATAGCCATTTGATAAAGACCCCAGATAACTTGCTTTTCAGTAATGATAGTTATGAAATAAATATTAGCCAGAACATTGGGTAGCTCCTCACCTACTCTTCTTTCAAGTAGAACTGTGAGATTATATATGTCTACGTGGAAGACCATATGAGGTTATGGCCCAAGTTATTTTTTTGTATCGTATCACTTCATTGACACATATCACGGTCAATCACTTCTGAAAGTCAGGGCACCGCTATTAACCTTAACACATATTGCAAGTATACAAAGAAAGCTATCCGTCGTTATGGCGAGAAGGTGGTTTAGAGGTAATGTCACTGAACTAATAATCCAGAGGCCCAGGCTATTCTCTCATGGGCATGAATTCACATATCAGCACAGCAACTGGTGGAATGTAAAGTAAATTAATATAATCTGGAATTCAAAGCTACTCTCAGTGCTAAAAACAGAAATTGCAGGAAAAACTCAGCAAGTCTGGCAGATTCTGTGAAGATGTCAAATGCTGGCCTTGGTGATTCCATCCCCCTGCCCCCGCCACCTCCATATCCCATGAAAGTAAAACAAATTAAGTTGGGGGCTGATTTATCAACACAACCAATGCAAATGTATGAGCCATATTCTGAGGAGGCAGCAATAGTGTTGCCATTATGTGTAGGCTGTGTGAGAGCTCAGCCTACCAGTAAGGCCTGGGAAAGGGTCTTATAATTTGCATATAAAATAGGGGTCCTTGCTCATTTCAATTTGATTTAAATGGTCCCACAGCACAATAAGCTGTACTTGCTCCTTTAATGTCACTCATTTGGACAATGGTTAAAGTATCTCTGGCTGAATGGTCCTTCAGTTACCAAATGTAAAAGTGAATACAATAAGTTGCTACATCGCTGAAGCTTTCACTCATCAGGACAAATACAAGATAAGTCCTTTTCAAAAAAAAAGCAGGACAAATTCAACCTAGCCAATTTCACCATCAGTCTATTCTCAATCATCGGTAAAGTGATGGAAGGTGTCATCAACAGTGCTATCAAGCAGCACCTGCTCAACAATTACCTGCTCCGTGATACCCAGTTTGGGTTCCATCAGGGTCATTCAGCTCCTGACCTCATTACAGCCTTGGTTCAAACATGGACAAAAGAGCTGAATGCCAGAGGTGAAGTGACATGACAGTCTTTAACATCAAGATCATTGACCAGAAACTCGACTTGCCAAATAAACACAGTGGCTACAAGAGCAGGTTGGAGGTGAGGAATGCTGTGGTGAGTAACTCACCTCCTGACTCCCCAAAGCCTGGCCACAAGGCAAAAGTCATGAGTGTCTTGGAATACTCCCCACCTGCCTGGGTGGGTGCAGCTACAACAACACTTGAGAAGCTTGACACCATCCAGGGCAAAGCAGCCCACTTGGTTCCCATTACATCCACAAACATTTACAAAAGATCTACAAAAGGACAAAAGAGCAGATACATGGGAGCACCACCACTTGCAAGTTCCCCTCCAAGCCACTCACCATCCTGAGCTTGAAATATATTGCTGTTCCTTCACTGTTACTGGGTCAAAATCCTGGAATTTGCTCCTTAATAGCATTGTGGATCAGCTCATAGAACATAGAACATAACAGCGCAGTACAGGCCCTTCGGCCCTTGATGTTGCGCCGACCTGTGAAACCAATCTGAAGCCCATCTAACCTAAACTATTCCATTATCATCCATATGTTTATCCAATGACCATTTAAATGCCCTTAAAGTGGGCGAGTCTACTATTTTTGCAGGCAGGGCATTCCACGCCCTTACTACTCTCTGAGTAAAGAACCTATCTCTGACATCTGTCCTACATCTATCACCCCTCAATCTAAAGCCACGTCCCCTCGTGCTAGCCATCACCATCCGAGGAAAAAGGCTCCCACTGTCCACCCTATCTAATCCACTGATCATCTTCTATGTCTCTATCAAGTCACCTCTTAACCTTCTTCTCTCTAACGAAAACAGCCTCAAGTCTCTCAGCCTTTCCTCATAAGACCTTCCCTCCATACCAGGCAACATCCTGGTAAATCTCCTCTGCACCCTTTCCAATGCTTCCACATCCTTCCTATAATGCAGTGACCAGAACTGTACGCAATACTCCAAGTGCGGCCGCACCAGAGTTTTGTACAGCTGCAACATGACCTCATGGCTCCGAAACTCAATCCCTCTACCAATAAAACCTAACATACCGTACACCTTCTTAACAACGCTATCAACCTGGGTGGCAACTTTCAGTGATCTATGCACATGGACACCGAGATCTTTCTGCTCATCCACACTACCAAGAATCCTACCATTAGCCCAGTACTCTGTATTCCTGTTACTCCTTCCAAAGTGAATCACCTCACACTTTTCCGCATTAAACTCCATTTGCCACCTCTCAGCCCAGCTCTGCAGCTTATCTATGTCCCTCTGTAACCTGCAACATCCTTCCGCACTATCCACAACTCCACCAACTTTGGTGTCATCTGCAAATTTACTAACCCATCCTTCTACGCCCTCATCCAAGACAACAAGGTGCAGGGCTGGATGAACACAGCAGGCCAAGCAGCATCATAGGAGCAGAGAGGCTGACGTTTCGGGCCTAGACCCTTCATCAGAAGCATCATAGGAGCAGAGAGGCTGACGTTTCAGGCCTAGACCCTTCATCTCATCCAGGTCATTTATAAAAATGACAAACAGCAGTGGCCCCAAAACAGATCCTTGAGGTACACCACTAGTAACTGAACTCTAGGATGAACATTTCCCATCAACCACCACCCTCTGTCTTCTTACAGCTAGCCAATTTCTGATCCAAACCACTAAATCACCCTCAATCCCATGCCTCCGTATTTTCTGCAATAGCCTACCACGGGGAACCTTATCAAACGCTTTACTGAAATCCAAATACACCACATCAACCGCTTTACCCTCATCCACCTGTTTGGTCACCTTCTCGAAGAACTCAATAAGGTTTGTGAGGCACGACCTACCCTT